TATGTTACCAAGCAGTTTGTTAGCTGTTTTCTGTATTGCATAAGGTATAGTAGCTCGCTTTTTCGTATACCTTGATTTTTGTATTGCGGCACCATAGTTGAAGTGTGTTTCTTACCATCAGCTGATGTGTAATGATGATGACGGGAAGCAGAAGACGATGTTATGGAATGGAGCGCAGAGAATAGGTGAATATGTGCGGCTCGACTTCGGATCATCAGCTGCATTAGTTGACAACAGCTGATATTGCGTAATCGTTTCAATGTTTGGGCTTCATCTGTTGTAACTTGGACGCTATACAGGCATTCGATCAAATATACATATGCAAGACCAGAAATAGAACAGTAATATTATTATGCGGTGGTGATGTGAATTCCTAGTTGGGTTGACCATTGTAAACAGAGACGCCTTTGAGTTGGTTCAAAACTGCTGACTGCCTGCTACAAGTGCGCCCCAACCGCAACATTAATGACGACCCTAGATAAAATGTTGACTGCCACAGACGAAACAAAAGCAGATTGAAGTCGAGCTTATTGCGTCTATTGATTTCCAAAGAGTTGATTGATTCAAATTTTAAGTTGTTGCATGCTTGCTATGTTAAGTTGGATTAGGACTCACGCTAAAGTAAAGCTCGCCCACTATGATCCCTTTGATGTCAGCTGAAGTAGAACTATTTTCGGCGCCGACCGCTCACATAGTTGAGATAAAAGCACACCGAAAATTTCTCCATGTTGACCGGCTTGATTACGTGTAAATCGAATTCAGTATCCAACAAGTCGCTAGAGAATGGTGATAACAGATGAAGTGATGTAGCTCGTATTATTGGCAACAACTGAGTATGGATGGAGCTAATCTAAAGGCACATCTCATAAAATCTCCGACAGAACCAATCCTGTAAAAGATAAAATATCCTATTTACCCCACTAGGCGCCGGTGATTATCCAGTGCTGAGGCAGGGCCATCAAATTTAACAGTGATCTAGATTTTTCTCTTGCAAGGAATTACTGACACACGCTTCCGACGATACTTCTTAAAAACCTATTGTTTTACTCACCTGTTTTTTTCTACAATCAATACCATGATAACCTAAACCCGCGATGCTCTGAAATCGTTGCGTTCCCGTACAAGCTAACAACGATATTGGTTCTATCAGGAACGAAGTGAGAAGAATCTGTAAAAAACAGGATTAATTTGTAAAAAAAAGCATCGTGCTAGGTGGAAGGTTACTCTGGGTAGGAAAACCTGATCGCCAATGTCCGTTCGCTACTGGGAAAAATGGAGGACCGCAAAAGCACTGTTAAGTATCGTGAATACGTACAACCGGAAATCGTTATGTTGCAAGAGACATGTCTCCATAAAGAGGCTGAAGATTCCGAATTGTTGCGATTGACTGATTTAGTTGTTTTCGTGTTTATCGCCCATGCACCTATCGGAATTGTTGCGGCGGTATGATAACCTTTATTAACGCCTCTTGGTGCCTATCAGTGAAAAGCTTCTTTTGTTACTCATCACGACGTATAGACTATTAAGTCCAAAAATGTAAGTCAAAATATCGGAATGGGGACCGTCTATGGTACTGACCAATACCTATATATCTCCCAGTTGTCCCAACTCGGAAGCAGACAAAGTATACGATGATATTACGGCTGCTGTGATCAGGAAAACTGACCATATTTGTTGGTGATTTCATTAGATTCGACACCATATTCATTACAACTTTTGGGCTACAGAATATTGTTCCACAAGATTAGAGATAGTCTTGGGCCTAGTATATGTCAACAAGGAAGATATTTTCGGTCTGCAATCCAGCAACACTTGGCAGCTCAGATTATTCGATCGTCAAACTATCCGTAGTGTCTACAGTAAGGATGCCACTCATTGCGATGGAACTGGAGACAATCACTTCCTTGAAACATAGTGCGACTGAGAGAAACGGTTGCTTCCAGCCTTTAGTTTGTCGACACATATGTATCAACATACTGGCCGAGTGACAAGATATCTGAACTTCTGTTATAATCTCTGGTGCCCAATAGAAACCAACCCCATCTGTGATGATCGGTTTTCTTCACCCCATCTCAATCAGCCTGGCAAGTTAAAGTAGAGAACTCTCAAAAGCAAAGATTGTGCCTCAACGAAGTCCTTTTCTGCTTGTGTTAAGTACATCACCTCAACCATGTCTATGTCCAGACTATTCTGAGGAACAACAGTTGCCGTGAGAATTGGCGAATGATGAAGCAGCTCAGCGGAACTGTCAAAGCACAAATCCTGATGTGGATGTATAAGAATTATCTTGAAACTGCTGCAGCACCAACAGTGACTCATTGTCTGATTCGACATCTGCACCGTTTCAGTGGTCTAGGGACTCACTGCCTCCTGTCGACGGTGAATCGTTGCACAAGAAGCTAAGCTAGCTGCACTCAGGCAACGCATGCGGACGTGACACGTTATCGTCTGTCGTCCCCGAACAGTTCCGATTCCCTAGCCCAGCCACTGGCTGAGTTATATAGCAAGAGAAAATCGCGGATGGTTGGGGGAATGTTAGCATAACGCCAGTACCGAAGAAAGGGACGGGTCCAAATAGGTTTAATGCATAAAGACCGGTTGGTTTGAAGGTTTTTAAGCAAATTATTCTTGAAAAAATGCTAGCCCAGTGCAGTTTGGATGACCCATATCAGTTTACGTATAGAAGTTCAAGATACAGTGCTTTGTCTAGTGCATCCAGTCTTGTCGTCCCCAGACGGTAAAAGCAAATCCACAAGTGTCTGCATCTTCGAACACAGCAACGTTTTCGGTTGCGTTAACCGTAAATTGCCATTGCAAAATCCAGGGACGTCTGAGAGTCAAAGTACCCTAGTCTTCTTGCTAAATGATCATTTCGTCAAATGTACTCAGGTCACCAAGTTTGGTGGCGAAAGCTCCGCACCACTTACTACAACTTCCGGTGATCTTCAAGGATCTAGTTTGTCAGCATTCTTGTTCTCTAATTACGTTAGCTCTGTACCTGTCGCAGAAGAAACTATTTTGCTAAAATATGCAGATAACGTTCATCGGCGCAAATCACCAAACTCCGGGCTCCTCAACCGAGCTGCAACTATGTCTGGACGAATTAGTGCAACCGTCAAACTCCCGCTGTTAACGCTAAAGGCATCCAGAAAGAACAAAGGCATCAGCAGTACACCGTATTGACGCTTTGTGGCCGCACAACCGCCGCCAGCTGCACGTGGGCTAAGGATACTGTGACGGTCGCCATGTCCTTACGCAGGCCTGAACCCGCGCCGTCAGATCACAAAACAAACTTGTTACCTTTAGGCTAGGGGCCGGCATTTAACTGTTACGACATTCTGTTTCCACTTAATAAAGCAGATCGTAACGATAAACTTGTCCCCAACTTCAGATGGTAAGTGAAAGTTTGAGCTTCCGTATGGCAAAGAGCTTGGAATTACAGTGAGCTACGATTTGTCGTGGCCACACCAAGTGGATTAAATATCCACTAAAGTAAGCGGGAATTTTTCATTTTACTTCTCTCAATTGTGATCCTCCTGCGTGCCAAATAATGAGTACATTCGATCACACTTGACCTATTGATCTCCTGTGATTTTTCCCGGCCTACTGTGTAAGCATTTCAAGCTGCTTGACAGGTCACTGAAGTACACTTGCTTCACTGCGGTGGCTTTCCAAAGCCAAGCTTGGTTCAAACAATTGTATTTACGCACTTAAATTCATGCAGTGAACTTACTTCTAAAGTGCTCACCGACATTAGCCACCCACTTTACACTGCACGTTAGCTCGTCGACCAGACAGCGTTACAGAGCAATATAGGCCCACGCGAGAGCTCAGAGTTCGTCGGTTATTCCCTAATTCGTCAGATTTCTATTTGACTAAAAAGCCACAACTAGAATTGACCGATGAATTTTGTCAGCAAGATTGTTTTTCATTGTGCTTTTACTTTTGCTGTTGTTCTGTAGCTTCTGAATTGCTTCTTTATCATATCGATAGCATGTATCACGGCGGAAAATCCACCCGTCATGGGTGCATAAAAGCCCATCTTTGACTTAACTTTACCTGTAAGTTAGATGGAGCATTTTGCAGTTAATTCATCCATCGAGTAGTTTGAACTCACCTGGGAGGCGTCACAATCCTTGTAAATCTGGTCTCTCTGTCCAATATTGGATTGTGCATAATGTGAGTGCTTCGGATTTACGGTAATCCGGTCAACTTGTTTGTAGAAATGATCATCGGACTTTATTGCAGAATGGCTGAGGCGTCATCAACACATCCACGTTACTTACACGTAACACTGGATTAAACCCAGTGGTCAACAACAGGATGTATATGCCGTATTTGATAGATTGGAATAGAGTTGAAACCGATCTGGACATCATCATTTTACAGACGTTAGGAAAAAACCCGCCAGTGTACCTGTCTGGTTCAATAAAAACATCTCTAAGCCTCTCTCAAATGTAATTGCTGTGTTTTTAGTGCCGAAACAGTGCCGCAGATAGGAACAGTCTACGGTGGTTACGTTCCTTGCCTTCGACATCCCACTTGGCTCAAAAGTGCTGCTCCGTGTTCCAGAACTGACAAACGTTTCGATTGAGCAAGGCTATTTTTCAATTGAAATTTAGTACTACCCACATTATAGCTATGGAATGCACTGCTGTGAAGACAGAATCAATGCACAATGCCAATAGCTGCACGAACTCACTTTTCGCGGTTTGTCTCAAGTTGGTATAACACGGTTTCGCAAAGAAGAGCATCTCATGTGGTTTCTTCCACGTTAGAAGAACTTGGTGTGGTGTGGCTACCATGGGTGGACTACCCAACCACGTACGGTTTTAACATGTACGAGTCCGTTCTGTCAGAGGTTTCATGCGAACCGTACGCATCTACCAGCCTCCCTCGAAGTGGCGTGAAACTTCAGAAGAGGTCAAACGATGGCAATGTTACAAGTATAATCACACAGGCGTAGGGAGAGGAATATGTACAGGGAGAGTGTACCAACATCAGCAGACTTGCTTGCCTCTGTTCATTTCTGCCATTGCGACCGCTATTTTGTGTTCCTATAAATACAAAGCAGCAGCAGGAAAGGTCCGCGTCAGAAACAAACTGCACTAAGGTAAATGAAAAGCGCATGAGTAAACGCAAACGATCATCCCATAAGCAGTATGAGAATACTGAATACTGTATTATAGAGCAAGTAGAAATGAATTCTGTACAACTCTTTCGAAATATGGTGCAAAACGTTATAAAAGTTGTCAGCCGTGAATATCGTTGTCGTTCTCATGTAACATTTAAACTACCTGACTCACGATATTGCAGGACTCACAAATGTGACATGTCATCGCAATAGTGCAATCGTTCTCTGAATCGAATAGTGGTAAAATATAAATCTAACAACGTTATGAACTGCTGCACAGATGTTGCCTCAATCACATGTTCAGGTATACTGTTCCAAATATTAACCACTCTCCGCTCGAAACACCGTGGGTGGGGAAGACGTTTCACATCCGGCACGACACGCTTTAGGCTTAATACCAATGGGTGTGAGAAGCAGTGGATGGGTGCTAAAAACGACTAATGGAAGCGTGACATCCTCATAAATAAGATGCGACCCATCACCCATCAAGAAGAGGTTGAGGCCAAAGGAAAACAAACCAATGACAGCATGCTTGATGAACCAGACAAATCAAGTGGCCGGTGCTTCAGGCCGGAAAACAAGCATGGTGGTTGTTTGGAAAACATTCGATTCTCTGTAGTTTTATAACGTTCATTTAGCTCAGTCAGTTCGAACTGAAATGAACTGTGATCACGTCCACTTGATTTGTGGATAGCAACACATTGCCGTGGAAGCTCTACTCCCAAGTAACACGTGCATCCGTGGAGGGTGACAGTCGAAGAGAGTGGAACGACAGACATGAAAACCAACGACTACCGAATACTGAGATGGAACTGTATCTTAACAGGTGATCAAGTCCAACGGACTGCCAAACTTATGTACTTACCAAACGCTAAGCTGAGTGGGCGGGACGGAGGGTTCTCCAGTTCGTTGCATTTCACTTTCACTAGTCAAAGCCGTAAGAGTTGGTTTGTTTCGATTTTTACGAGCCTGTCGCCTATCCACCGAGAAGTGTATTGCTTACACTAATATGCATAATTTTGTGAAGAAACAGCGTTGTCGACCGAGGTAATGGAAACCCATGAAGAAGCTGACCGGACCGTTGCGTATTGTCTGTGTGCGTAGTGTGCGGGGGATCGGACACAATAGTTGTTGGTGACTCCTCCTGGCGGGACGCAGTCGGGAGGTCATTGGTATTTCTAGAGGTTGATAGCCTCTAACTCGCAAGCTTCCATCTGATGAGTACGATACTCATTTTTCTTCCCCGAAAGATACATGAACCTGCGTATATACTTACTCGTCTTGTTTTCAAACCCCTCGTTTGACTGTTTTACAAGAGCAAATTCGTCTGGCACAATTAACTATATCCCTTATAAGCGTTCGCTTGTACTTCACGGGCGCGAAGTCAGCAAGGTGCAAATACTGGCCGAACTATGTTGCTCAGTTGTAGACATGCTGCTCAGTGGGTCTACGGTAACTGTGACTGATGTCGGTGTTTAAACAGAGCGGGCAACCTTCCCATTCGACTTCACAACCGACCGGTAAGTTAATACAAGCACGGGTGGTCTACTAGGCATTTACAAACTAATTTCTCCTTGATGACAGACATATGGGAAAAATATGGCAATTACGCCACAACTGCTATGACACTGCTCTTAGTTCATACGGAAGCAAACCGTGTAGTGGGTCTGATAAGTAAGCGGTGAGTATGCCACTTAGCGGATCACCTGTCTTAAGGATCACAAGCCGGCCTTGTAATCCGAGGGCACAGGTTCAAGCCTCCGTAGGGAACTAGCGACCCGCGAATTATCCTCAGCGCACGTGCGACTGGTAGTGGTTGCGCGATAGCGTAACTTCGGTGCTGCATACCGGCGCACTGTTGAGGTGTTCATCGTTCGGACCCAAAAGAAACGCTTCAAGAGGTATAAGACAACGTCACAAAAGCAAGCGTACTGATTTTCTTATGTACTACTAGACAAAGTAACATCCCATGGGCACATGTGTAAAGATGTTAGCTCAATGTCTAGAATTTTTTCAACTCGATGGGTTAAATCATTCCTGTGTTACAGCAGTTTGTCTAAGGACGTGAGTTAACATCTCGTTACGTTTGAGTTGGGGAGAAAAGTCGAACAACGGTACGCTAACAAAGCTTGCGTGAAACTAATGAAGTATGCCAGCGAGACAGCTGAAAATTTAAAGGAAGCATATAAAGATGCCACACTAAAGAAAACTATGGATTTTTAAGTGGCACAAACCCCTCACAGAGGAAGGGGAAAATGTTGAAGACGAACCTAGTTCCGGAAGGCCAATTATGTCAACATACGATCAAAATGTGGGAGTTGTGCGAGCTGTGCTAACGATCGTTAATGATCGTCATTTTTTCGATAGCCGTTGAACTGCGTACAAAGAATTTGTACCTTCATGATATAGTCATACAGTACTAATACAAAAGTGTCTTGGAACAAGTTCGTAAAAGGGTCCAGCGAGTCCGAAGGGACATTGCTGATGATTGGATGCCGCACCACGATAACGCGCCTGCTTACAGCGCCTTCAGTTCAGGAGTTCTGGTGTATGAAAACATCCCCACACTACCACAACCTTTCTAAAGCATTGACCGAGCTCTATATGATTTTTAGCACTTCCCTAAGTTGAAATATCATCATCACGGGACCGTGGTAGACATCAAAAAATTGTAACGAATGAACTGAGCACTCTTACAGAAAATGATTTTTAGTACTGCTACGATCAGTGAAGAAGAGGTTGGAACTTCTCAAGGTTCAAACCATAAAGAAGATAGTATATAATTTCGGATGAGTCTTATATACAGTTAAATGAAAACGCAGTACACCTACTTTGGGAACACAGGGGTACTTTTCAATGGTGACACCACCATTTCGAGGAAAATCAAGCTTATACACCCCGCCACTCGGAGCAGACGCTTGACATGCATTCATTGTTGCCCAAGTCCACAAATAAATCTTAGTTAGTTGTGGACAAAGCACACTGTGTATACCAAATGGTGAGTACGGAGCGCTAGTTAGATTTCTGAATGCGTGGAAATGTGTAGCAGTGGAATCCTTACACCCATTCAGCTATCGTCATCGATTTTCACGATAAGGAAACATGGATCATAGAACACCAGAGAGTGTTCAGCGCAGTGATGTTGCGCCACAACGTCTACCTGGAGCTATCCATAAAAGTTAGACAAAACTGGTTCTTTAAGAATTTCATGAAGCCATTTCCCTTCAGAAATTTTAAGAGAGCAAGAACAAACATTTTTACGGGATAATCTGAATTCAGATTTTTTTCATGTCTTCTCATTCAGCCGCTTACAGACATAGCGTGCAAAGGGTAAAGGAATGCAATTGAAAAAAGTGTTCAATAAGGAAATCAATAAAAGACTGAGAAAATAAAGGTCATCGCCTAGGCCTTACCGGGGCAAGGCAATACTGGCCACAAAGTCTACCTGTTTGCAAAGGTTTGGTTTCATTCGTCGGATGGCAGATGCCTCAACGAAACGAAGCAAGCTCGCGTTGTTTTGTCTGCTGATAACTTTGAATGCGTCACGTGGGTTTTCGCACAAGGTACGATCGAGCAGATGCTGAGCGAGGGAGCTGGCAGGGAGTTTACGGCCACTATTTACCAGTTTCCGTGGAACATGTTCCACGATCCTAGTTGATAGCCTTCTCTCGGTTCGTCCAATGTACACTCTACCGCAAGTACAGGTGAATTGGTAAACACGTGAGGCGTTAACCTGAGAGTGAGGCCTATCCAAGTTGGATTCATGGAACAGCTTCTTGGTTTGATGTAACAACACGAGCTCAGCTGCGTAGTAGCACCATTTTATGGCTTGGCGTAATCGGTAGCACAATCTTCTGTCGTTCTGTTCCCCTTTGTATGGCAGCGTGATGAAGACCATTTTCTTTGGGACATCCATGCGTGTTTCTTTCCTAGCAACCTTATTCCCATACCTGGCGATGAATTAATTAGGATAGCCATTCTTGCGTAGGTTAAATTCGATGTTTCGTAATTCAGTCTCGATTGACTCTTCAGAGCATATTCGGTTTGCTTTAACAAAACAAGTTCGAAATAGGGATCGTTTGTAGTTCATTGGACAGTAACTGTTGAAGTGTAGGTATTGTCCGGTCAAGATTGGTTTCCGGTAAATCGATCTTATGAGTGAACCATCTGCTCTTCTTTTAAGTGAAACGTCAAGAAAAGGAAACAAATCCTCTGATTCACTTTCCATAGTGGACTTGATGTTAGGATGACATTTATTTAACGTTTCCAGAAGGACTTTCGCTTGTTGGACGGTGTCAACTACAACAAAAGTATCGTCAATATACCTCGTGTAAGTGTGTTGCTCCAATGACATTGCGTAATAAGTTACTCTCCAAATGACCCATAAAGATGTCAGCTAGAATCGGTCCGAGAGGGCTACCCATCGCCACGACATTAAAGCAAAATTGGACGTCTTTCGTACAAATGCTGAGTAACGTCTTCAATCGATGTGCAGGCAGGCCAACATTTTCCGCATGCTTACTTATGATGTTCAATGTCTCATCCAAAGGAACGTTCGTGAAAAGGGAACAGACATCAAATGATATCATGTGCTTATCTTGAACACTCAAGTGTCGAACCTTGTCAACGTACTCAGTGTTTTATTGATTTTACTATTGACCCCCTTTTTCGTTTGCATTCCTTTACTCTTTCCACGATTTGTGTGTAAGCGGCTGAATGAGAAGACACGAAATAATCCGAATTCAGGTTATCCCGCATAAATGCTGTTCGTGCTTGCTCTCTTGAAATTTCTGAAGGGAAATGGCCAACGCAACTTATTCAGTGCTATCTGTTGTTCTAGGGTGCTAGCATGATTATCACAACCTAGTACTCGCCTACGCACATCATTGTTGCGGACACGCTGGTGCCATCCGACACCAGCAA